AGCTGTTGTACATGTCCACGAACTCCTGACGTCCCTGTGTAGGCAATCTTCTCAGGTCCGTCATGCACATTTGGTCCACTCCTTTCCCTCGGTCTGGTGCTCCTCGAATAGCTTGGTCCATCTCCTCTAGCGTCCACGTGCGTGGTTCTTCTGCTTGCGCTGCCTGTCTAAGGTCTTTGAGGAGTTGTACGTCTGCATCATCATGTCCTTCTCTCCAGAGCTCCTTGAACGTTTTGGCCTTCGCATCAATCCTGCTTGTCGGTGAGTATTTCTTCATGTTGTCCTGTAACACTTCCTGCTCGTACCTTTTCGCGTCCTTGGTGATGCGGTGAATCGTACCTGGCTTCTCCTTGGCCGTGTCTTGGAGCCACTTGGTGTAGGCTCGTCTTCCTTTCGCCAGGTCTTCCTTCAGGGCTTTCCCAGCTTGTTCTTCTGCTTGTGCTTGCATTCCTTCCAGGATGTGGATGTCCTGCTTCTCGATGTTCAGGAGGCGGTCTTTCCATATCTTCCTGTGCAGCTTGGCCGTCGCCGATGTATTTCTGCCCAGTGGTGGTAGCCCTTCTATCGCCAGATATCTGCACGTCTTGGCTGCGTTCTTGATCATCTCGCTGCCCTTGTGCTTCTTTGGGAGCTGCACGATCGTGTTCAAGGTATTTGCTGTTCTATTCCACCAATCCGCCTTGTAGTCCGCAAACATTGGGTATCTTTGTCCATATTCCTTGACTTCCTTAATCTTCAGTTCTCGTTTTCCACCTCTCCCACAGAACATCTTTCGATCTTTCAGAGGAACTTTGTAGGCGGTGCAGTAGAAGTTCTCCATGTTCTGCATCAGCTTCGCGTACTGCGTGCCTAAGGACATCGCCTCCGTCTCCGTGGCTAGGAACGATGCACTCTTCCTGATTTCATCTGGTGGTCCTTCACGTTCTCGATGGTCGTGGGGTTGCAGAGCAACACCTGTCCAAATATCGTCCATGCACATGGTGGGAAGGTTGGTAGCCCTGATGTCCTGACCTTTATCTATCGACGTGGTGACAGCGAGGCCCCGACTGTTCGAGCTGTCCGACGTGGCGACATGGGGGTCTCGACCATTCGTGTCATCCAGCGTGTCGACATGGAGGTCCTGACCTTTCGATCCATCTAGCTCCTCTTCGTCCGTGTCGGTCTCGCCGCCCATCGCTTCCAGTTGTTGTTCAGCTGTGGCTGGTCCTGGGTCCATCTCATTCTCGATTTCGTCAAACGGGTCCACATCTGCATCATCACAATTATTTCTGACCTTCTGCTCCACAGGAAAACCTTGCCAACCCCATGGTGTGAGTGCTTCCCATCGTGCTTCCTCCAGTTGTTGTAGGCGTTGTTGTTCTTCTGCTTGCTCGCGTCCAACATCCACTTGACCAACTTCCTGGGTGCCTGTCTCATTCTGCAACTTCTGCAACTTTTTCTGCCTCTTGCTATTGGGGTTTGGGGCCTTTTTCTCCAACTTAGGGTGAATGAAGGGGCGCGGCATGGTGAGCGTCCTCACGGTGTTGAGTCTCGCTTCCCCATCAATCCCGATACATTGCCCAATATGAGGTCTCCACGGCACATCTGTAACTGCTTCAATAAATCGTACATAGCGCTCCGCTTTGTAGCTCACCAGCGCGAAGTCGATCAGCGACGGCTTGCTACCCTTCTTGAAACAAGTAAAAGATCCTTCTGGGAGTGACAAAATTGCGCTCCCCATTTGCTTCGGCCATCCACTCTGCCATATCTGCTGCGGCGAGTGGTTCCAATCTCCCACAATAATCCAAGGGTGGTCGATACCGTTTAAAAAACTCGACAAGCTCGCCAACTTCTTACTGTTGATACCTGCCGTCGGTGCCACACCCCCGTCTAAATATATACTGATGATCACAATTGAGTAGCCCTTGAGGTGCCACGCCATCGGCACCCAATCACAGAATTCCAGGCCGTTCCCGTCGCTGTCAAGGTTCCCTGCGCTAGCCCCAGCCATCGCACCACTGACAGACTGTCTTGTGGCCAACTCTCTGTAAGATGAAGATCTCATATGTGATCGAATAGCAATACTGGTACCTCCATTCGTGCCAGTCGTAGATGTTTTTGATGGTCTTGCCGCACACGCAACTGCCTTCAGGCCCATACCTTGAAGAAGTCTTTCGTGTGGTTCCACTTCCCCATGACTGAGATGCGTTTCCTGGAACGCGAAGCCGTCGAAGTAGCCGTAGTCCCCAGACTTGGCCAATGCAGCTTTCCTCAACCATTTGTCCGCTTTCGGACCCCATGTAGAAAAATTGCCGACGAAGAGGCGCCTCAAGGGCGCAGCGTCGGTCTTTCTGCTGCGCCCTGGCGCTGCCCTTCACTCTTTCTTGGCTTCCTCTGGCGGGCCTGCACCTTTACCTGCTGCCTTGGCCATCGCAATCCTTTTCTGCTGCAAGATGTCGTTCTCGGGCTTCATGTCTTTCGAGTCCTGGCCTTTGTCTTCGTCCTTTGTCGGGGTTGGGGTATCCGATGGTGGTGTGTCACTGGTCTGGGCGGTTCCCGCGCTAGGAGCACCTTCCTCCTCTTTCACGGGTTCACCGCCCTCTGCTTTCCGCTTCTTCGCCTTCTGCTTGATCTCCGCTTTCTGCTCTTTTGCTTTATCTTTAGCTTGTTGCACGAAGTTCTGCAGCTGCTGCTGGAAGGAGTCCGCCTGTTGCTTCAGCTGCGTCACGACCTGCTGCTTCACTCGTGCAATTTCTGCCAAGGCTTCTTCATTTAAGTCCTTGTCTGCTGTCAACTCTGACTCCAAGTCTTTCATGGCGCCCGCTGTGAGCTTCGAAACGTCGCCGCACAGCAACTCCTCGATGACTCCTTTGGGCGCCACTTTGTCTTCTAGCTGTATCAGTGCGATTGCCTCTTCTGCCGCTAGGACCTGGTCCGCCGCCTCTGTGACCTGCTCCTGCAGCTTCTTGCCCTTCTGCAAATGCATCTGGTAATTGTTGTTCTGGTGGGTGTACCATTTATTGGCTGACTCCAGGGCCTTCGCCGCTTCTGCCAGCCGTACTGCCTTGGACTTTGGGGGAACTTTAACCTGTTCCTGCTTCTGCTTCTCCAGCTCCAATTGCTCTGCCAGGCCTTGTAGTTGAGTCGTAATCGTTGATGACTGCTTCATGCCGAACTTTGCCACGATGTCGGCCAGCGCGGCACTCAGGTCGCTTCTGGCCTCACTGGCATCACCGCTGGCGAAGTTCTGCTGGTTCTTCAACCACTGCTTTTCCTGGTTCCACTTCTTCCAATCATGCTTGGTCCACTGGTAGCTGTTCATGGCGTACGTCATCTGCTTCGGCGTTGGCTTCGGAGCTTCTTGACTGATCACCTGTACTGCTTTCCAGCACGTCGTGCACCACCAGTTCTGGTTGGTCCACTTCTTGAAGCCGCAGCCTCCACAGCACGAGTGGATCTTCTTCTGGGGCGCCATGCTTCCGTGGTGCCTGTTCAACCTCTTCCTCGCTTCTTCCAGCTTCAGCAGCCTTCTTGCTTCGGCTCGCCGAAGACGATCCCGCCTATGCCAGGCGGGCGAGGCGGCCCTGGCGCGGGCCGTTGCTGCGAGGGGAGGGCGCGGGGGACCGCGGGCGGCGGGGCGCGGTCTCCTCGCTGGGGTCTGGCGTGCCTCAGCCAGACGCCTAGGAGGAGGAGGAGGAGGAGGAGGAGGAGGAGGAGGAGGAGGAGGAGGAGGAGGAGGAGGAGGAGAAGGAGGAGGAGGAGGAGGAGGAGGAGGAGGAGAGGGAGGGGGAGGAGGAGGAGGAGGAGGAGGAGGAGGAGGAGGAGGAGGAGGAGGAGGAGGAGGAGGAGGAGGAGGAGGATCACCCCCCCGACTTGCAGTGCACGCGGCCTGCTGTGCTCGCTTGTCCGTGAGCCGCGCGACTGTCACCCTGCCGAGTGGCAGCGGATGTCTCGATCTGCCTTTCATGGTTCTTGTTTCCGAGGTCATGACCGGCCACTGGGGGGAGCGGTCCTGCTTGTACCGCCTCATTGTCATCTTCTCGTCGTCGTCCTCCTCCGCTTACCTCGCTCTGTGTCAGCTTCCCCTCGCTCTTGCACGCATTTGGCGTGTCTGCACACGCGACTACGCATGGCTTAGTTGTGGTGGGGGTATCAAGCGCTGCGGCGAGCGAGGGGGGACGGTGAGAAGGGAGAAGCCCTCTCAGAACGCCGCGGGGCTTTTCAGAAGCCCTCCAGCCTTCTGAGAGTTTCTGTGTCTTCAGGGATGGCTTCGGAACTTCTCAGAAGGCCGTGGCACCTCCGAGCCTTCTGAGAAGGCATTCTTCTTCTCACTCCCCCCCCCTGTTCGCCGCCGATTGGTGTCGAAGGGGAAAAATGGCATACACCTATAAACTCTTGACGTTCCGCGCGGAGTTTGTGGATCTGCGCTGGACCCCCCTCTCCAGCGCGCGGGGCGCGTCAGGGGCGGCGCCGGAGGCGCCGCCTGGAGGGGCCAGCGCGGATCCAAGAGATCCGCGCGGGCCGTCGAAAGTTTTATGCTTGTGCAGTCGTTTCTTCCTCCATGGCTTCGCCAGCAAATCATGATGTTTGGACGCCCGAAATGGGTACGGGAAGAATGGGTACAATGCTCAACAACAATTGTTGTCCCAAACCAACAGCGGCCGCTGTTGGTTTGGCGGCCTTCTGTCTCAAATGGACACAGGCCGCGGCGACGCCGACAGCGAGTCCTGTCCAGAATGAACAGGAACTGCTGTTGGGCATTGTACCCATTCTTTCCGTACCCATTTCGGGCGTCCAAATCATGGGAGCCTTGTATATCCTCGCAATTCCGTCTTTAGCGTCGATGAGCGTCGATGTAGCTTCCGGGAGTCGACGAGACAGCGCCGATTTCTAGCGCCGGTCAGCGTCGACCATCGATATAGCGTCGGTCAGCGTCGATTTGGCGTCGATTCGCAAGAGCCGACAAGTTTATGTGGGAGCCTCCCATGGGTTGCCACCGAACATTGCGGATGGGGGATCAGGCGTCGTTCCAATGCGTCGTGCAGTGGACGAAGAGCCCCTTGGAGGTGAGGTTCTGCGAGAGCGAGGCGGGCGGTCCCGCTGCCTCACGCCGCCTCTCGTCCTCCTCCCTACGCCCTCCCCCCTTGTTGGCGGAGGGAGGAGCGAGGAGCGAGGAGCGAGGAGCGAGGAGCGAGGAGGAGGAGGAGGAGGAGGAGGAGGAGGAGGAGGAGGAGGAGGAGGAGGAGGAGGAGGGGGAAACGAAGGGAAGAGGATGAGGATGAGGAGGAGGGGGGAGGAGGACGAGGGAGAAGGAGGAGGGAGGAAAAGGAAGAGGAGACGGGGACGAGGAGTAGGGAGGATGAGGAGGACAGTGGAGGATGGGGGAGGAGGAGGAGGAGGAGGAGGAGGAGGAGCAGGAGGAGGAGGAGGAGGAGGAGGGTGGAGAAGAAGGAGGACCCATACTTCCTGGCGTCGGGGAACTTTATAGATCAGTTGTCAGGTCGACAGCTTCGTAAGGCAAGGCATGCGTAGGTCAGGACTGTGTGAGCGTGAAGAGATGTCATTTTGATCTCCAGAGCTTCGGAGGCCTCCGTGTCGTAGTCTCCTAGGCTCAAGCTGCGCAGTTCTTCCCCCATCCAATTGAGTGCATACAAAGAGAGAACAGACAGAGAGAACATCCTCTTTCTTCTCACGTGTGTGTCTGGAGCTGCTGTGAATCGCTTGGCCATAAGCGTCTGGTGCTCGGCATTGTCGAGATAAAGAGTGCGACCGTTGTCGTGCCAGAGGAGACTGAGGATCCCAATGTCTTCCGGGTTTTCAGAGGCTAATTACGAGATGGAGGAGTTCGGGGGCCCTTCCAGCTGGGAGCGGCACCGGCACACGATTTGTCGGTATTTACGGACTACGACAGGAGCCCGATCATCACGATTGAGTTCATGAGCGCACAGATTCTTTCTTACGTGGTCTTCTCATTTGTAGACACCATGTATCGACAGCCAGTTGGACAGTTTCAGCCTTTCGGATATGGACGTGCTCAGGGAGCTGGTCGCGGTCGACCAGCGTGGCCGTATGGGCAGCAGTGGCCAGAGCCGAGAGATTGGAGCAGCATGCGCGGCAGTATGACTAATCCGCCGCCGTGGGCACCGGAGATGGAACACCAGTATCTTTTGCGCAACTGGCTGGCAGATGTGGTGGCGTGGTGCAATGCAACGAATTTGAATGATATCAGAAACGGCCCGCAGATCGAGCTGGCACTTGGTGGCATTGTGCGTGATATCATTGTAGGACTACCAGTTCATGCAGATAAATGGTCCCGACATGGAACTGGGATATGGCGCAGGTCTACAGCGTCTCAGTGGAGCTGTTTTTTTTTCCAGGCGTTGGCACGTCAGTTTCTGCCGTTCCGTAGCCATTTTGGCTCAAGCCAGGCTGGCCCAATATCGCTACGCAATTAGCAATTCATGCAGTTTCCGATGTTGCACGGGTGAACTCTGCTGCCAATCTGGCCAAGCACTCGCAGTTCTTGCGGCGCTTCCCCAACCTGTGGCGCCGCCGCCGGGGCCTCCGGCGACCGGCTTCGGTGGAACGGGACACGTTCTCTGATTGCGAGCCCGTGAAGATCTCAATTGATGATGCTCTCGAGCGGGATAGGCATTCCTCGGTGGGTTATGTGTCGCCTCAGCGTAGTCAGTTGGTGCATGTTGCTGGTGCGTCTTCTGTCCAATTCAACCCTAATGCTGCTGAATTCACATCTGGAGTTCCGCACACAACTACTTCTTCACAACTCGAGTCAACGTTGAGGCAGCACCAACTTCTTGTCGAGGCTCAGAATGACATCATTGCCCTTCTTACCCGTCAGGTCGAGGTTCTTCGCTCGGGGGTCGCTCCTGCTGTGGACTTCGCTGCACAGATCCAGGTTGTCCAGAGGAATGTTTCCACTCTCCAGTCGTCCCTTGCTTCTGCTGTGGAGGCCTCTCTGGACAAGCGGTTGCCTGGCAAGTTGGAGGCTTATCAACGCGCCCTGGTGCACGTTCTCGAGACGCAGCTGGCCGAATCCAGAACTGAGATGGCCACAGGTGTGCTGGCGGCGGTGGAGAAGCCGATCCGCAAAGTGCACGATTCGTTTCGAGCAGAGATTGGCGTTCTACGTGCGGAGATGGAGGCCAACATTGGGCTACCTCACGCTCGTGTTTCGGCTGAGCCTGGCCCAGGCCCCTGCGGCAAGCAAGGCGCCCACTTCTGGGGTTGTGGTATTTCGTCTACTGGTCCTGCTTCGGCTTCCTCTACCTCAGGCGGGCTTCCTGGAGGCCCTCAACTGCCTGCGCCACCTACAACGGATGAGCCGACGCCTGCTCCACCACCGACGCCTGCTCCTCCACCGAAGCCTGCTCCACCATCGACGGCCGCGCGCGAGTTCCACGGCTTCGCTCTTGGGGCCAAGGTTTACCCTGTGGGGCTCAAGACGCACGCCTTCAATTTCCTTCCTGGGCGTGTGCGTGTGGCGGGGATGAAGAGCGCGCGTGCATGTGGTGCTTCTCGGCTACGACGGCGCCAAGAAGATAAGGCCCGTGAGTATCGTGGACGCTTGCGCGGACGAAGAAGAGCACTGTTCGGGCGATTCGTCTTTGTGCCGCTGCTGCGAGAGCGTGTCGATGCTTTGTATGGCAAAGGATTCCTGTGGCCCTCAGCTGCAGGGTACAACTTCTACTTCTTCCTCTGGCGGGCATCCCTGTGGCCCGAAACTACAGGGTACAACTTCTACTTCGGCGACGAGTGAGGCGGCCGCCTCCTCCTCCTGAAGTGTGACAAGACCGATCTGTTACGAGCGACGTCAGTTTCTGCCGGTGGAAGAGGAGACGAACTTGAGTGGCATGGCCGATTTGTAGGGGTTTGCACGCTTGCCCGGCGAGAACATAGAAACGCGGACTACATGTTGGGAAGTGGTTTTACAGCGAGCACGTGCACGTTCCAACATTGCAGTGCAGCATCATGCGGCATGGATGGTACTGATGACACTACGCTTGCCGGCGGAGTATTGGATGCAAGTGCTTGTTCCTTTCGGTGTGCAGTATCGACAGATCATCACGTATATCAATAGTTTCGGTCACTTGGCAGAGATTGGCAACCGTAACATGCTGAATCCAGCTGCGCAGGGGCCATCGGTGGTGCGCACTACAGAGCACGCGGTCATGGCGAGTGAGGAGGTCGCGCCAGGGATCTGGTAAACGCGGCCGTTCACGCCGACGTGCTAGCCGCAGATGGCACCCGACCTGCAAGACTACGCGCACCAAGGTCATTACTGCGCAGATGACAGGGACACCACGGACGACGACGGAGAAATAGACGCGGTGTTGTTCGAACGCGAGGCAGACGAGTCCGACGTGTCCAATTGAAGCCAGAACGATCGCGCCGAATTCTATTACCAGAAGTACAAGAGGAGTCGTAAGAAGTGGCGACGCTTAACGGGCAACACACCTCGACGTCAGCGCGGTCCTAGTCGTCGCCGTCATTTCTACGAAGACATTCAGCAGTCAGAATACGTGGGCAACTCCTTCGGTAAAGGTCGGAAGGGCCATCGAATTGGTGCAGATGGCCAGCCTCTCAAGTGCCTAACTTGTGGGTCTACGCTGTTTGCTCAGGGACCTCTTGTTGGAGTGCCGGCTGTGCCGCGTTTCGTCGTCACGGAAGAGGCCAGGACGAATGCGAACACAGAGTCGGTCACATCATGGACAGTGGCTTCTGGTAGCAGTGCAGATACGGCAGGAGGTGCAACCGCAGGCCTCGACGGAGATGAAGAACATGATGAACATGCCATTGGAGGCTTCGATCCCAGGTGCGCAGGATGCACCGAGCCGTTGTCGCATGCGGATCGCGCGGTTTGCGATCAGCGTCAACGTGCGCTGCGGGCCAAAGCGCAGACGCAGTGCGTGGGTGCGCAGAACGTCGGAGCACACAAAATATCAGGTGATGCATTCGGCTGACCATTGTGGCTTTTGGGAGCTTACAGGGGGCGCCGAGTTGCAGTCCAGGTGTGCTGTGTGGCATGGTGTTCCACCCGCTGTCGCGACGTTGGTGCAGAGTGTTTCTGCGACGCTGTCGCCGGCCCCCCCCGTCCTCTCCGATTCTCGCAAGTTACTAAGATGTTTCCCCACGAGTGTCAGCATTGGTGCCTGCGGTCCTGCCCCCCTTCTCCAGGCGAAAGTCTCTGTCGATTCTGGCGTTTTTTGGGGGATTGGCGGATATTTTCCATTGCGTTATCGATTGGTGCGCATTTTTTCTGGTGTGGTTTCCCAACAACATTTGGCCAACATATATGCGCCAATCCGCCGGGGCAAGTTTACCGCCTCGTTGGTGGATGTTCTGAGGGCGGTTTTCCGGCCCGCGCTGTCGGGGCCCGCCCGTCTTTTCCGAGCCGCTGCGTGCGGGGTGGCGTGGCCCGTTGCTTTTTCCCGACGTATTTGTAGGATCCCGTGCGCAGTGCAGCGCGTTTCGCCTTCGTCCTACCTTGCCCCGCCGTAGACGGCCGACCCGCGCCGGCACCTTTCGCATGAATCTGGCGCGTGTATCCTTGCATTGTTCCGGCGAAACGCCTTACCGGATGCGCTTCGCCCTCCCGGAACATGCAGCGAGGAGTGACATCGCAAGCAGCGGCTGCAGCATTCGCGCCGCCGTCTGCGCCGTCGTGGACGTGCGGGGCAGCGTCGCCGTTATTTACGCGTAGGTCTACACCTACTTTCGGTTCGGCAGGGGGCGCCGCGCCGCGCTGTGGACCGACGCCGTCGCGACCGCCGTCGGCAGCGCGACCCGCGTCATCTTGGCTGCCGTTATCGGTAATGCAACAGTATGTGTCTTTGTCGTCTGGAGCAGTTTCCTCTTCGGGATTTATTGCCCCACCTGCGACGGCGGCGCCGGGGGCAGTTTATTCGCCGGTGTCCCAGCGCGGCGCTGCAGAGCCTCACGTTACTAATGCCAGCAATCATGTCGAGGAGACTGGGCGTCGTCTTGCCGGCGACCGACGTGGGGTGCTGCATCGTCTGCCTGACGGGCGAGGGCAATGCCGAGATGTTGCCGCGTGGCCATGCTCACT